CCCAAAAAAAAAAAAAAAAAAGAATAAGTGTTTGGGCCATAATTGTTTGTGACACAGTCACATTTACTGGACTGTGGAGTTGGAAGCCACACACTGACTTGAGATTTGAACCCCCAGCCTGGTTGACCTGAAGACATGCTGGATGTGTCCCTGAGTGATCTTGATGGACTGGGGCACTAGAGGAAAGGGATCACAGCATGGCCAGGCCCCATGGAGGGTGCTTCTCTCGCTCTCTTTTCTCTCTTTCTCCCATGCACACACCTCTGTTCTATTATGAATAAAAAGAAAAAAAATTAGAAAAGAATGATTGTGCAGGATGAAGCAACAATTTCATACATGGGAGCATATATACAAAGCCATGCTTCAGAACTTATTAGAAGCTTTAATAATGGACATGTTATACATATTTGTAAATGGAACTTTTTAAAAGAACTGTTCACTTATTTTGTTTTTTAATTATTATTTACTTTTTAATTTGACCAAAGAGACAGAGAAAGGGAAAGTGAGAAAGCAAGCCACTAGATCTGGGATTCAAACCATGGTCAGCCACATGGGAGTCCAGCACCTTAACCACCACACCATCTGCTGGCCCCTATGAAAGGAATTTTAAAAGACTTTTGCATTATATCTGAAGCTTAATTTATTATCCAAAAAATAGGGCATTTATATTATCATTTCCTGCCAGTTAGATATGTGAAGTTTTCAATTAATTTTATAATAGGGAACACAGATTGGGATTTAGAATATTGAATAATTAATATGAAGTAAGAGCTTTAAAATAGTTTACTATTTTCTTACATTTGGGGAAGTTAAAATATAGTTTAAAACCTTGAATATGTCCTTGAGCACACTTATCCGAAAGGGGAAAGAAAGAATTAAACAGATACATAATTGGATGTGAAAAGAATAGCTGTGGAAGAAAATATGAGACACCGTATATCTGAATCTTTCTGTTATGTATAGCTTCAAAAATGATTTCATGATAATGTTAGTCATGCAGGGCCAAAGTAAACAGTTTTAAACTTGAAGAGGTTTTTCCACTGTCATTTCCCCATTATCTATAATGAAAAGATCATAAATCCACTTCAATTAAAAGTACTAAATAACACTTTGTTATACCTCATCAGTAAGCATAACACTTTTGAATTACAAAATGATCAGCTTTAGCAAGAAGTAAATGAAATGGATAATTATCTGGCAGATTTAGGTTATGTGTTCAGTTTGGGTAAATTAGATCGCAAGGTGGATTTTACACTCGATTGGAGTATTAGCTGTACGTGTCAGCTGTGTTCATGTCAGCTTTCACCAGATAATTGCCAAATCTGCACTTCCTCTTTATAGACTAAGAACTTACTGGCTGTTGCAGTGAAACAACATACCATGCATGTGTGTGTGTGCGTGTGTGTGTGTGTGTGTGTGTGTATACATATATGCATATATATACAAAGATGCATACACACAGTTACATTTGAAATATTTGCCATTTTGTGTGGTGAAAGCATAGTTACTCACTCTCTAGAATCAAAGAGTTAATGAAGGTGTTCATATATTTTCAGTTTGCTTTCTTCTGGACTGAAGCCCCTTAGATGCTGAGTTTAGCCAGATGCATTTGGATCATCTTGGGTTATTTTTGTTTGTTTTATAGAAAACTAACTCCCATATGCTAACTAGTGCTTTAATGAAAGCTTCCTGATCCTCTTAGAAACATGTCAAGGAATTCTAGTAGACTGTGGATTTCTTTCTTTTCTGTTTTTTTTTTTTTTCTGAGAGAGATTTTTTGCGATATGGCGTATGCCCTTACCAAAGAGACAGAGATAGAAAAGCGAGAAATCATCTTCCAGGTAGATGGCCATGCTGCAATTCCTTCTCCTCCATTTTCCTCTGGGGATATTGAGCACACATGCACATGTGCCTGGAGTGAGTTTTAAGCTGCTGGATCCAAGACTCAAACTGTGGTCCCCCACGTGGGAGTCCGGCAGTTAACCATTACGCCATCTGCTGGTCCCGGTGGATTTCTTTTATGTAAGTAAAAGGCTGTGCATTTTAACCGGTGATTCCTTCTGAAGGCTTCCTTTTAAACATTTCTTCTCCTTTGTGATAGAACCATGCATAAAATAAGTACATGTTTTCACATAAAAGGAAAGAAAAATTGGTACTAACTCTTGTAACAAAGAAGTTTTTGAATGTGTATAATAGTGCCATCGAAATGGCACAACCCCCCTGAAATTGAAATCACAGTATGTTAGGATTGGAAGGGACCTTGGTGATCATCTGGTCGACCCCCTTTATTTTACAACAACAAAGGCAACGTCTCTGTCACATGGAGCAGGTGGCATAGCTGAGAACTCAGGCTTCCTGATGCCTAATTAATGTGCCCCTTCCAATCTCAGTTGCCCTAGGATTTTTCACTTGGTGTGGCAGTTGTACTTTTAGGCATTTGCTAGATTTGCATATTTCGGTAAGTAGACAATTACCAAGTTTTTAATGTAGGATTGAGGTGGAGCCAGAATATTTTTTTTCCAAGAATTATTTTATTTACCTTTACTTGTTATTTTTATTTTCCAATTTGACCAGAGAGAGACAGAGAAAAGAGGGAAAGTGAGAAAGCAATCCACCAGGTCTGAGACTTGAACCACAGTTGGCCATGTGGGAGTCCAGCACCTTTAACTACCACACCACCTGCCAGTCCCAGTAGAGTCAGAATTAACTATTACAAAATATTGGGCTGTCAGGAAAGTTAGGATGCATTTTTACATAGAAAATATGTCATGACTTTTCCAACAACCCAATACTTGATGAAAATACTTGAAATAAACAAAACTGACCTTAGCCCCAGAGTCCCCTTTTCTCATAACCCCAAATGAAGTCTCTGACTATATAATTAAGTAGCTCATAACAAATGTTTTTGACTTTCTAGAACAGAAGAATCTATAACAGAAGATGACAAGAGGAGGTATGTTTGGTCTTGCAGCTGGCTTAATTTGAATAGTTTGGGTCATACTTTATGGATTTAAAACACCATAGCTCATCACCAGTAATACAGATTCTTCTAGGGACCTTTTAGCACAGAGAATACAGGTAGGAACGTGAGACCTGGAAGAGAATTTACTCAGGGTTCATAATCTGTGCTTCTCTCAAGCAAGCTTGGTTTTTGTCCCGTGCATACAACCTGTACTAATTTCCACTCTGTGGCCTTCAGGTGTGCTGTTTCTGCCTTTTGTTCTCTCAGCCTGTCTTTTCTTCCTACTCTGCAGAGTAACTATACTATTCTCTCATTACTCCTTGGCCATCTCTTCATTTTATACCTTTCTATAGGTAACATGTTTTTGTGTGTCCAACACTGGGTTGATCACTCTGAATTCTCGATACATGTTGATTGACCGTTACATGTTACTCAACTCATAGTTACTACTATATTAAATGATAACATCCCAAAATGTTGATCAGCTGTTACCTGTTACTCTACTCGTATTTACTGCTGTATTAAATGGTAGCACCTTAACTTCTTTCTCATTGCAAATAAAATTTCTGAAAATCCTAACTCTTAATTGTATTAGCATAGAAGAAAATTGTATTCCCAGGAGCAAGAATATTCTGAATTCTACTTTTGACAAACTCATGAGTTGTTTTAATAATTGCATAATTATTGGAAGTTCCTCCATGCCTCTTGTCAATTCCTATAAATATGCAATGTCTTCAAAAAAATTCATGGAAAATGTGCATTATAGAAAAAACTATGCATGGATTTCAAAATTTTTTTGTACCAAAATACTATACTTTTTTTTTTTTAACAAATTTTTACCTTACGGCACGTGTGCTCACTGGAGAGAGAGCGAGACAGAGACAGTGAGAGGAAAAGTGAGAAATCACCCCATGGGGGCATAACTATGCTACAATTTCTTCTCCATTCTCCTCCCAAGACCTTGGGCATGCTCACACATGCACCCAGCATGAATTTCAAACTACCGGATCTGGGACTTAAACCATGGTTGGCCATGAGGGAATCCAGCGACGTAATCAATATGCTATCTGTTGGCCCCTAGACTTGTACTTTTAATTCCATTTCCAACTAATTTTTTGAAATCCCGTAATATGTAATACCATTTAAATTTATCTGATTTCTTTTCATTAAGAAACTATGGAGGCGTGTATGTTGGCCTGCCCTCCGAAGCTGTCAATATGGTGTCTAGTCAAGCAAAGACTGTACGAAAAAGTAAGTAAGATGAGGTATTTATTTTCTGAAAATATGTTTTTTGTTGTTTTAAGAAAAAAATATGAAATTTCTATTTTGGCTTGCCCAGTTCAACCTATGTGTTATTTAGTTGCAGTGAACCATATGCAAGTACTGTCTATTTATTTTAATTATTGGTGGAAATGGCCACCCATAGGTTAGGATTATTTTTAGAACAAAATTTAGCTTTTATTTATTGTTATACTCCATGAATATGTTTTATTTTTTGTTGATCTCAAGGACGATATGTTTAAAAACAAAAGTTAAGATTTAGGTAAGTGTATGGAGCTTACGTAGAACATAGAGGTAAATTTCTGTCATATAAGATGACTAACTAATAAGCAGTCTGGTGATTAAAGGAAAAACAACTGCCTGTTTCTGAGTTTTAATAGCAATCATGGGGCTCATGAAATTCTTTTTAATAATTGGCACAAGTGCAACCTTGTAGTTAGCTTCTTGCTTAAGTAAATTTTAAGTGAGGCTGGTAAAGAGTGTATATTTCCTAACTATTGACCTGATGTATTAGGTTGTCAGGAAAGTCATGATGCATATTTGCATGGAAAAACAGAAAAATATGTCCTGACTTTCCCAAAAACCTAATATTTATTGTGTGATATATATATATATTCTGATACAGATATATATAGTCTGATATTATATATATATATATATATATATATTACATACACACATACAATTTTTTTTTTGAGCAGATTTTGCTATAGGGCACATGCATTC